CTGTACCTGAAAGTTAACCAATTGTAATGGTTCAATTTATGGGTGACAAGTGATCTAAAGCGAAAAGAAGTTTCACTGCACTAAACATGAACAGCAAAACTGAAATAGTTGTTTTGAATGGCAAACAATACACAGGTAATAAAGGATCACAGCAAGTGGAGCCCAATCCCATTTGAAATGGGCAAATACTCCAAATAGTCTCTATAAAACCATTACATACCAAAATACACTGCTTTGCCAGCCTTCTGTTTATCAAAGATGCCGTTTTCGTCAAGAGGCAGTGTCACTCCAAAGTCGCACAGCTTGCAAACAATGAAATCTCCATTAATGAGAATGTTGAAGGATTTTATGTCACCATGAAGGATCTGCATCTTTGTGTGAAGGTAGTCCAGAGCATCTGAGATATCAGAGGCTACCTGAAAATGTCATAAAAATACCTTTATGTTGAATGTAAATAAATATAATAAGTGATCTATGTATGCTTGCACAAATGATTATTGGAACCCTGTTATATTAATGAATAATTTAAATACAACACTGGCATCAATATCAAGTTACAATATTATACATTAGACATTATTTAAAATCCAATTCATAAAAAAGTTAACAATCTTGATTGCATAATGATTATAAGAACTTGCTCCGAGCATGTGTTTGTGGTAACTTAATGTGGGATAATAAAAAAGCAGTATATTCCCAATCCTACAATCCCTTTCTGTCTTTGGATTTAGTAATTATTGAATAATATATGTAATAGTGGTAGTGCAGTGGGAGAACAGTAGTTTGTCAATTGTGATGCTGACAGTTTGAATCCCTGTAGCAGCATAATACTTTAATTTCTTAGTTACATACATTATTGATAATGTAATAGCTACACCTTTCCCTGAAGGAAAACATTGTAATGAATCCTACATATGGAAAAAGGTTCACAAACGCTAAGAACAATGTGAAGTCCCCAGCCCACAATAGGTTAGTGGTAGACTATAGCCTAAAGGCTAAGGAAATTACAACAAACATTGGATTTATGTGATTTATACGAATTAAACTGGTAACCGAATGGTTTGACCTACCATCTCTCAATCACAGGCTACGGGAACATACCTCTGAGATTCTCGGAATTAAACTGTGAAATTTGATTTGAAATTTACCATGAGCTTTCAGGTGCAAGAAAACATTGTAATGCACATTGAAGAACGTTCGCAACCCTCAGAAAATGTGTAAAGTCCCTAAGTAAGTCATTGAGCTAATGTGGTGGACTGTTGCAAAAACCCTAGTCTGAAATAAGATTCGTGCCCAAAAGTGGGGCGTATAAATGGGTTAATGATAATACCATGAGTTAAGTAGTGTGGCCTCCATCTCCAGTAATCTCCGTGTCCAAGATGATTATTAAAATGTAAGTTATAAATTTGTAATTGACTGAAGAATATGTTTTGGTATTGTTGGAGAATTTCAACGTTTCTCTGACTAGCAGTTTCCCGAAACTCAATACCGTAGGTCCAAATTGGGTTCAGAACTGCCTTGTAGATAGTTACTTTGTTTTCTAGAAATACTTTAGACCTTCTACCCAGTAGCCACCCAGGCACTTGATTCTGTAATTTAGTTGTAATGTAGTTCTTTTGGATGTGGGTCTTTCATGTTAGTCTCCGATCTATGTATCAATTACAATTGCATGGTTCACTAACTGTAAATACATGACATCCACAAATATCTTAAAATGCCTACAAATATTGAAGAAATAACTAGGCTAACTATGTCCTATAAAGAAAGAATAGCCACTCATACTAATAAACTAGCTAGCGCATTGTGTGTACCACCACGGTCAAGAAGATTGAAGTGTTAACACATTTAGGATTCAACTAATTGAGCTGAATAGTTTTCTACATAAAGGCAACCCAATGTTGGAAGAGTATGCCCGACATGCCAAAATATATTTTAAAAATGAACTGCTAGTGGTCTCGCATTAGGCCGATTGCACGTTGGCAGAAAGAAAAGAAAAAAGTTATAAATTCTAAAACCAAAATTACACAAGCATTAATGTGTGTGGGTGGGTGTATGAATGTGTCTAATGTTAGAATAGTGAAATAAAATTTACCTTTAAAATCTGCCTTGGACTATATGGACCTCCATCTTCCTCGACTCTCTTCTCAATCATATCTCCGAGTGATATATCACACGCTTCCATGCCCAAGTACAAGATCTTCGTCTTACTAAACGCACGAAAGCCAACGATGTTCGGGTGCGACATTTTCTGTAACAAATCCGCTTCCGCCTGAAGACGTTCTGTGTATACTTTACTGGGTTTCACTCGCTTGTTCAGCATTTTTAGCGCCCAAGGTGATCGGATTTGTCCTGCTCGCGGTGATCTTACGAGTTGCATTACATTTACCCCTGGAATGACAATGAAAAATTTGTAGTTTAAGTTTACATCTGGAGATGGGGCAATATCTTTTGTCTAGCAAATCTTCCCAAAATGAGCAGAAAAAGAAAATATACATACCTGTTCCATATCCAAGCCTATTCAAAAAAGGTGACGGAGGTATAGTTATTTTTTCATTAGAATCCACGGATTTAACTTGTTTTACTGGTGTCTTAAATTCAGCCATGGTATCACGTTAAACTATTGTAAATACTTCTTTTTCAATAATAATGCGGTATTATAGTTCTGTTGTCTGAAATGTATTAAAATTCAAACAAACGGTTACTAAAGTTTAGTTTGTTTATGTACGATTACTGCGCTCATTTAATACTACATGTAAATATTAAAAATGTCATTACACCAACACTAAATCATGCATTGGCGCGATCAGCTAATCATAAAGAAGCGTTGGTGCATAATAAAAGTTTGTTGATTTCGCACTTACACCAGTAACTTGTTGACGTTTCATAAAAATGCGTTCAAAGTTCCGTTGTTCAAAACTTTCAAATAATGTTCTTTTACTCCTTGTGATTGTTAAATAGTTTCATACACAACGTTTCATGTGTATAAAATGTTCGAAAAAATAAATAGGTATGGATTTTTATGTACCTACTATTAACCATATACATAATAAGTTGTAAATAAACTTCTTTTGTAATATTTGCTTTCCTATAAATTAAGTGCGTTGTTACTGACCATGACTATGACACGTTAACTATACTGTACGGAGCTGTATCTATGACACGGCTGAGAAAGACCACTCTTCAGTTGAAAAACTAGTTTATAGATACTTAAATCAAAGAACCTGTGGGGTGAGTGACAGCATAACATCTAATGTGTTACGCAGTTAACACAATCAACCGTCATGCAGTGGAACCAAATTGATGAGTTTTGTATATAACGTCGTTGGTAAAAAGCTATTACAATAGGAATTATAAGCAGAGACAAGTTTTGCGCGCGTGTGTCATGCGCGCTTGCAACAGTCTGCCCACATAACAACTCAACCTCTAGTACCTACACGACTTAGTAGAGTTACCAAATTAAGCAAGTTTCATAAAGGAATTGGTAGATACAATGTATTTAATATAGTGCATGTACTTGCTACACATTGGAAAGCTTCCCTGCATCCCGTAATGTAACCTAATAATACGACTTTGTAGAGTTACCAAATTAAACAATTTTCATAAACGAATCGTTAAATACAATGTAGATATATAAAGTGCTTACTGCGCACTGGATAGCTTCCCCACACACGGTAATGATGTAATGACGATTAAGTATTGATAATCGCTAAAATGGGAGGAAATAAAAATTTAGGCACTCATGCAATCTCATGTGTTCATCGATTTCACACCGGAGCACCGATATTTACAAGTATAATAATATTATTATAAGTATATTCTTTGTGCAGAATTATAGTAAATACTTATGAGTAAGTTAAAATGGCGAATAATTCGCAAACACTAGTTCACTTGCAAACAGCGTTAAGTGAAATTTTATTGATTTTTAGTTAATGTGAATCGTGGATGGGTGCGTGGATTAGTATTTTAAATAATTTCAAATAAGTAATTCAACACAGTGCCAAAGTTTGGTATATTCTGAACAGATCAGTGTCAAATGTTGACTACTCTTGCAAAAGTTCTCTGTCTTTTGATAATTTTACACTTTCAAAAGTTGCCATTTTGCAAACGCTGCTCTATTGAGCATAAACTCGTGCAAAATCCGCCATTTTGTTTGGTATTTATTATTTTTGTCATCCGAGCGGTCACTCGTGTTCATTTATTAAAAACATTTCGACGAAGATTGGTTTACACACGAAATTCTTGACTTTTATAACTATCACACATATACCTACATATATCACACATAACTACAATCAAATGTGACCGAAGAAGAAGAAATGACAGATAATGTAGATAAATTATTGATGGTTGACGACGTGAACATGAGTCTAAAGGAAAATGAAAACTTGATTTAAGTTGTATTTTTTACAATTATTACCTATAACAAATCTAGCCATGTTATCATTGTGTTGTTGCAAAACTAGCTACCTGCTAATACGTCAATTCTGAACAATTACAAAACTATAAGTTATTTTAAGATCACTGTCATTTATCTCTTTTTTATCACAATTTTCAGATAATTAACAAAGTACCATTAAAAAATTAGTTTTCGGAACAATATTTTTTTAGTTTATAGCTTTTTTATCTACGCCCTTGACGTTGTCTGCTAGTGGACTCTTTGTACACCGTGATTTTGCTAAATTCATTCAAATCTTTGAGTTAATACCATACCTAAATCCTATAACGTAATGAGAAGATTCCCATCAGTTTAGAAAAAACCGATCGTATATACACTAGAAGAGATCGAAAAGAATTGCAAAATGATAAATATAATGCAAAGTTAGTCCATAAATTCATGTCATAATTTCACGACTTTAGGAAAATTTCCTTCTTCGCTGAAGTCTTCAGCTTGAAAAGGTGTAAAATAAATGCTGAAACATGGCTCTTCTGTCCGCACTCATTCGTATTGCGGAAGCGAAATTCCAAAAATATAGCAAAATAAGTGATATGAAAAAGATTTTCATAGTAAAAAAAATGTGCAAAATTTGTAAAAAATTGTGCCCTGATACCTGTATCAGGGAAGATCTCTACGTGGCCACAGATAACGGCCGTCAACATGGCAACATACCTTACTGTTGAAAGTCAATATAGTCCTAAAATAAAAACAGTATCGTCATCGTCACGATAAAATAAAAGAAATAAAAAAATCAACCTTCTTCAAGTTTGATTTTAGATTTTGACTGTTAGGTAACCAACAATAGTAAGTTTTGGAGACGAATGGCATTTCCATTTATTTAACGAGCATAAGCCGTTACAACTGAAAATAGTTAATTAATTAATGGGAATAATTTCGTTAATAACCAGCAAAACGTAATGCTCATATTGTTTATTGCAAGTAGACAGTGTTGTGAAATTAGTTGGTTGTAAAATTATTTATCATTATTTTGAATACTGTATTATTACTTACTGCCTGCGGCACGATTACCATGACCGGGAGAAACATTTGTATGGCCCACAGTTATTTCTCTCGTGAGTTTGGGTGTAATTTGTGGTTATCTATCTGTGTGTCCATGGCACCCGCTATACAGGGTTTGCCTAGTGCGGAGTTCTGAGTATGTTCGTTATTTATTACTGTATGTTGATTTGTTTTATTTTCTGATATAACTCCACTTTTTGTAATTGTTAAATATAAAGATCGAACACAAAGAAAAAACCAAACCTGCGACCACGGGATTCCATCCTCATTACTTTACCAATTTAGCAACTCGATTGGGCCATCAAACTCTGGTTTCGAGTGTCACTTCCTACTCGTAGTCGCCTCTCTACTGATAATACAGTTTACGTCTACTGTATCCTTATAATGTACATACTACCTACTATACCTTACATAGTATTATTTATGAAAAATAATGTTTTATTAATTAAAAAGTCTGAAACACTTTATCTAAATCCTCCGGAAGTGTATCCGCTTTTACTTAATTATAGGTATGAGAAACTCGGGATGGGTGTATATCATGAATATTTATGGTTCCTAATCACGATAGCTATTTGTGATCGGTACCTACTTACTTAACGTATACCAAGGTTTTTCACAAGTTGCCCTATTCGTGATGTACTACATTGAGAATAATAAGGCAAAGGTAACTAAATTAACTGGTAATATCCGCGTCATTTACTGCAATTAATTACAACGAAATCTACGCGTCGAAGGACTATCCTTGCTCGGAAAGGGAGCAGAGGAAGGAAGCTCGTCGTCCGTATATTTATGAAGGTTTCAATGTACATATTTGCACGCTACATGTAGTATCAATCAGGTGACAAATTAATACCACCTTAATATTAGATCTCCGGAAATGAGAACATATACTCGGTTATAAAAACAATGATACATATAAAACTCATAAACATTGGGTACTAATGGATACTTCGTTACATATACAATTGAAAAAATTTAATACATTTTTTCATAGATTAACAAATTGCATGAAACATTTTTTGTTTGTTAACTTATGAAATGAGTAAATGAATTATTAAACTTATTTACTTAATAAAAGTTTGTTACAAAACCAGCGCACGCGATGCTTCAATGGCGACGTTGTTGATGTTTTCGTGTAATTTTCTAATCACCAAAAAGCGTAATTTCTCCCAGTTGTGTCGAATGCATTGTCGGTCGGTCGGGTAAAGTCTCGCTGCGTTTGCAAGACAATCGGCGGAATTACCTACACATGGCTTGGACCTTCGTCTTTTTGTTGTCGAGAAATCAGAGACCTTGCGTTTTTTTGTAGCTTTTTGGAAATAAATTTGTAGTATAGGTAGCATTTGTACTTATTAATTGATATAAAGAAGCATTTAGGTATATGCAAATTAGTAAGTAATTTTGCATTTGTTCATTCTCACTAGATCCATGATGGATCTGGAGAATGGATCTACTGAGATTGATTGGAGGTAAAAAGCTGATATTGTCACAAACAAACGGCAGAACTTTAAATTTTTAATATAAATTTTAATGGAAAAATTACTATAAAAAATGTATTTATAGTGTAAGTATTGCACAGTAAAGTAAGTAAGTATACTTTACTTACTTACTTAATTATTCTTACTTAGTAAGCAGAAGTATTCTTTATTTCATCCACAAATTTGCAACTATTTCAAGTGATATATAATAGTAGTTAATCAAGGGAAATTTGTAGAAGCTGAAGCCTAGACTAAGATACCTACCCTGTATTTTAGATCACCAGAAACGAATAACACGATTACGGGCAGTTCTGGGTATAAGTTTAATTTTGCTTAAACTGCAAAATTTGAACAGACCCGATTTGTTCATAAATATTTGTAGAAAGGCATTTAAACAAAGTCAATTTCATAACAAAGTGTGGAGGCTATACGACAGTCACTCGTGTGGCCCTCAGCGGCGATATTAATATAATAAATAATAAAATAAATAACGCACACACTCAACATAGCCCCGCACTAGGGAAACCCTGTGTCGCGGGTGCCATGGACACACACATAGACAACCACAAATTACACCCAAACTCACGAGAGAAATAATTGTAGGCCATACAAATATTTCTCCCGGCCCGGGAATCGAACCTGGGACCTCTGCGTGGCAGTTCGGCATGGTAACCGTTCGGCCACGGAGGCAGTTAGTTATTGTATTGGCATTACCTTTAAACCCCGTCACCGGCGTGCGGAACACGTGTAGATGTGCAATGGAGAGCAGAATGTCCTTACGTTGCCTAATGGAAGGAAGCCGCGGTTGGTCGCCGCCGATAATGGCCGTTCGGTCGGCCAGCCAGCCTTACCGGCTACCGCCGCCGTCGTAGCTGGCGCCAGTGGGCAGTCACCCACCAGCAACCGCTGCACACGCGCGTGCTATGTGCCAGTAACACGTGACGCAAGCAAGATGCCCCAGTGCAACACTATCAGGTGGGCAATTAACCTGTTCATTAACGGCTTAATTTCGCGCGTGTTTGTTTAGGTAACGAGTCATAGTTTTAATGTAACCGCTGCGTGATGTGGGCTGACTGTCGCCTGCTGACTGACATGGGTTGTGTTTGGTAATAAGTGACTAGATTTATTTTACAATTAAACACCCGTAAATGAATTGTTAAGAGCTGACTATTTCAATAAACATTCAAAGAATTGGCAAAATAATTGCAATTTCAAAATTGCGAAATCTCTAAAAGTCTAAACAAGGTGAATTTGAAATTTACCATGAGCTTTTCGGTGATGGAAAACATCGTGTTGAAATCCTCGGAAAACGTGGTAAGTCCCAACCCGCATTGGATCAGTGTGATGGATTATGGCCTAAATCCTTGCCTGAGAGGAGACCCGTGCCCAGCAGCGGGACCTATAAATGATGATGAAACAAGGTGAACATGAGAATGGATCTTCTATAGTATGTACGTCACTATTATAGAATTGTATCGAAGTAGATAACCATACCCAAAATTGAATACTCTACTTTAAGTATTTATGGGGTAAAGAGGTCCTGATTGCTCCTTTGTCTACAGTTTTATCTTACAGTCGGATTGTTCATGAGAAAACCCAATAAAAGAATAACATATCTATTAGGACATGAAACTATTTTCATTTCCTATGTATAACAATCGCGAAAACCTAAGAACTCGAAACATATCTATTGTATGATTTTCAAAAATTTGCACAATCATTTTCTCTTTTTTCCTTACGAATCGTTAAACAGCTGAAGATAGGGGCAAGAGTGGATAAAATGGACAATTTGAAACGCAGTTAAATATATTACGTATTACGAGTTTCTTTAATTTTTGTCGTCAATTAAAGCCATTCATGTCGCAGTTAGTTGACAGGCAGTAGATAAGTTTAGTACAACACCGACATTCTCGCAACCTTCTTGTTCTGCTTTGAGTCACACGGAGACAGTAATTTAGAATTAAACAATATATTGCAACTGAAACTATTTTTTTTACACCGTAGTCCTGGATACGGTAATTAGATAGTTCTAACATTTTTAGTTTAGTAATTAGGTACATTTAATTACCGTTTCCATAAAATATTTGTTTCTTAATAACTCAACAACTACTTTGTCTATTCTAATGCCATTTAGACACATTGATAGTAAGGTTAAATATTTAATGTCATTGAGCACATTAAGCGAGAAAAAACAATGGCTATACGGTAATTAATCCCGAACGTGGTAATGGCCGAGGTACATACATCATTTTTAGATACTGGATACCTTCCGGCAGTCTTGCGCACATGTTTAACTGAAATACCTATAGAAACCGTACCGAAAATTTTCAGTTTGTTCTAAGTATTCTTCGGGGGCAATAGAACGTTTCTGTTCCCGTTTGAAATTGGATTAAGAAACAAATGACGATGATAGAATTTCCATAAATAAATATGAGGATATAATTCAATGGATGCAGCAAATGATAAACGCTTACACCAGTGAACGTACTGCAAAACAATTGCAGTGCATCCAGTGGTTGCCATTTTTCGTACAATAACATAAATAACAATGTAGTTTTATTTGTTGTTTTCATCAATTCATTAGAAGAATGTAGAAAATATGTCACGCCGTTTCAGACTACTTCACAATAGCTAAACTAACGCTCATAGTGACTACGCATTTCATAAGAAACGTTAAAACCGTTTTGTAGTATATCTAATTTTATAGCATTATGTATAAAATATATACCCGAATCTCTTGAATAAGAAGAAGAATAGACAGATGCCTACGAGTTATTGATATATTTTTTTAAATCTTTATGCAGGGGTTTTGATCATTATTGAACATGTCAGCCCAATAGAAAAACAATACCTCAAGAAATCACTTAATAAAATCCAGACAGATGTATCAAAATACTACCGAATCAAATATGTATACAAAACTTCCGCCGCACTACATGTTGGATCCGACAAAACAGATTGAAACCACCCAACATTAAATGTACGGAAACCAGCCTGCGCAAATAACCGCACCCTGATAGGTTCCGCCCGAACACAGACCATGAGCAAATGATGTACATCCTCAGGAATCCCACACACTTCGCAATTCGATGAGTTCACCCTCCGCATCAAATACAAAAATTTGTTTAATGGAACGTTAAAACAATAAGTCGGAAACAACGCTAAATACTTTTTTTCTTAGTAAATATTTACTAAATGGAATGTAAAGGATTCTAAGTATGTGCCTATATAGGTACTTGAATAATCACATTATGTGTTCACGAGTCTCCTCTAAGGAAAGGATTTAGACGAGAGGATCCCGAAATTTTTTATCTCGTAGACCACGTGCCAATTCTTCAGTGTTTTTGACAGCTGATATACTTTGATAAATATATTTTAATGTTTAATGAGAAACTCTATGAAAAACGTGGTAAGTTTTATCATCATCATTATCAACTCATAAATAAGTCCTCTCAGGTGAGGGTTTAGGCCGTAGTCCACTATGCGGGCCCAATGCGGGTTGGGGACTAGACACGTCTCTCGAGGGCTGTGGACCTTCTTCGACGTGCAGGTTTCCTCACCAAAAAGCTGGTGGTAATTTAAAATTGCATTTCGCACACAAATCCCGAGGAAGTCGTAGATGCGAACCCGGACTCGAACCGACTTTCGCTGCTTGGGAGGAGGTAGGTCAAACTATTAGGCTATCACGGCTTTACCGTCACGGGTTCACCTTGTTTAGACTTTAAGAGGTTTCGCAATTTTGAGATTGCAATTCTTCTTTTAACAATTTATTTACTGGTGTTTAGCTGTAAAATAAATCAAACACAACAACCCATGTCAGTCAGCAGGCGACAAAAAACACAGAGCACCCTGCTCCCAGTCCAGCCCGGATTCCAACTCACGGCCTTCGGCTTAAGAGGCGGTAGGGTAAACAATAACGCTACCATGACCACTTAAGTTAAATTTTACACAATTGTCTAACTGAATATCTTCTTTGTTGTGAAATGTTGGCTTTATAGGTAATTTACGTGTCTACTTGTTATAAGAAAGTATTATGTATGTACATCGGTAGTATATATCTGTATAACGTGGATTATTCCGTTTATGGAAAGTCAAAATTGGGATCACGACTTGCGCATTCACACTTCTTTTTTTTTCTTGACATGGATAGTTGTTGTTACCCTTGTTGGTTGCAGTGGTCCAGTTTGAGAATATCTAATTAGACCATAGTCTGTGTCACACGTTTTTCATGGGTTGACTGTTGGTTCAACACGATTTTTGCTTCACGAAGTAGGTATAGTTACTAAACATTATACTAATATATCTTCGAAATTAGTCATTCAAACTGCCTAGTTCACAGACGAGAAACAACCATTTACTGGGCTACCACCACCTCATTTTACATTTTGTTCAATAACTGTGTTGTAGTACTTGAACAAAGCTGAGGTTTGTACTGCATGTATCCATTGCGTATATAGGGTGTAATCTTAAGTGTGCCTAGGCGATTATTCCGTCAGTATAAATATCTTATTTATTTATTTTATTTATTTATTCTATTTATTATCGTTAATCAGATATCGAAAGTCCGTAGTACCTAATAAGTAAAACAACATCGATAACGTTTTTTAAATAAAACTAGAAATAAGCAAAATTTTAAAAGTGCTTCTTTTTTTTATTTTTATTGAAAACCAACAGCGTTTACAATATCATAAATATACAAAGTAAACCTTAAAATAGTACAACAGCCAGTAACAGGTTTTCTAGAATAAAATTTAGTATTTATACAACACCACAAAAGCATCAGCCAGTATTTAGTGCTTCTGATCTTCCCCAAAAACGTGGTTGGTGTGTGTATTTGTGTGTTTGTCAATGTGCGTGTGCGTGTTTTAGAGAGAATACACTTATATTATGTATATAATATTACTTAATATGACACTCGTAGAGAGGCTTTTGTTTCGAACAAATGCTTTGAATACAACATTTTGTACTTACTTGAAAATAAACATCACTTTGTTTTTACCAAATGAAAAGATTGTTTTATTACTTTATTTATAGCAGTTTTGTTATCTGTAAATTTATTGTTATCTTTTAAAGTAGGTCAACTAAAACCTCTCTACGAATGCCCTATTAAATATATACCTATAGGAGAATCTAACATTAAAATTTTGCATATTTTTAGATTTATTTAAAAAGTTATCGGTGTCATTTTACTTATTAGGTAACGTCCTTTCGATATCAGTTTAAAGGTTTTTGATATCTGTAACATTAACGGAATATTTGCCTGGGCACACTTAACGATTACATCCTGTATATTATCACCCTCATTCAATTTTTGTCCACTCCTATTGACCCATAACATAATTGCAAGTACAAGTGTCAAAAGAAACAAAATAATCGTAATAATTGTGCATTGTGAATACACAAATACTGTTTGGAAATAGCTAAATGCCAAAACATTTTGCAAAACTAGAAATTGGAGCAATATGGAAATGTAACTCGACGACGCCACTCGCGCAGAAAAAAGTGCAATACAAGGCAATCGAATAAAGGTTCCGCAAGTGCTGTCACAAAGTTTCGTTTGACCGAGGTAATTGTTTCAAATGAAACAAAAATAAAGATTTCCACAGGGGTAAGGTTAAAATAATTTATTCATTCGTTACGCATCCCAGAGATACACGGTGTCCCTAACGATTTTGGTACTGTAACGTCCTAGAGCCGCACGGTGTCTCTAACGCACAGTCGTGTTTTCATCCACCATATTAAAAAAAATCATGTAAGTATGATATAGTTACATGATTTTTTGGTGTGTTGTATAAATTAGTAAAGTCTGTGTCTTAGATTGGGTTGGGCTTATAATTAAAACCATTTATAGCGTCTATGACATCTCTAAACTAGGTTCAAGATGCGGTCATTTTGCTTATGTTTTGTAGACTTTTAATTTATGGAACTTCTCTTTTTTAAATTTTATAAACGTTTTTTTTTAATGTTCCAAGCTG